CTGGACAATTTGAGGTGGGAGGGAGGGGGGCTGTGGGCTGGAATGAGACTTGCATCACAAGCAAGAATGAAGATGAACTTCCAATTTAATTTCTGATTTAATCCACAGGCCCTGTGTCACCACTCATTGTGATTGCAGGTATAATACAGGGTGCAAATCAAATAGCAGCAAAGCCGAATGGTTCCAATTCCGTTCTCCAATGCAGCTGCACCCTCAGGCCAGGCCTTTGTCTATAGAAAAAGAAATGACTGTAAATTGATACTTGTGACACCTCTGTCCTATATACCATATGCAAACTCCTTTGAGTTCAAGAGCAATGATACTCAATCCAAGTTTTGGACTATTTATTTTAACCTCAAATTGTATGTACTTTATCTTCTTTGCCTGATGAAGACTTTTGGAGAACACAACAGCTTGCCTTGTTTAGGACTTTTTAATGATCCAGTCAAGGTGTTACTGATTAATCTTTTTCGTACCTTAACTCCTTGTTTAGGACTTTTTAATGATCCAGTCAAGGTGTTAGCCAACGCAGACTTTTGTTATCTTCCATTTCTATGAACTGATATCAGAATTAATATCAAATTCCATGTTATCTGTTCCTAAAAAAGGTGGGACAACTTTGAGCTGAAGGCAAGGTTGACGCTGTATGAGGTTCAGAGTTACCTCTTTCGTCATCATGGGTTTTACTGATTAGACTTTTTAATGATCCAGTCAAGGTGTTAGCCAACGCAGACTTTTGTTATCTTCCATTTCTATGAACTGATATCAGAATTAATATCAAATTCCATGTTATCTGTTCCTAAAAAAGGTGGGACAACTTTGAGCTGAAGGCAAGGTTGACGCTGTATGAGGTTCAGAGTTACCTCTTTCGTCATCATGGGTTTTACTGATTAATCCTTTTCGTACTTTAACGTCTACCCCAAATACAGTATACACAAGAGGTGAACTTGATGAAAACAGCTCATTAAGGATGAAAACAGTTATTTACATGGACTATGTAAGGACTTAGTCCATGTAAACAAGACTTTTTTTTATCTCAGATACAGATTGAATGAACTAGTAAAGGTTGTGTAACTGAGCACAGGAGTGTATTGCAGATCTGCTATTTGCAGATATTAATTAAGCTGCTATTACATTTCAGCTTTTCCATAAACAATGTGCTATATAGACAGTGTTGTGGCTAGCAGGATAATGTTGTAGTGTAGTGTACACTTGGGGTGAAATAGAAATATAAGAAAGATTTATCTGCTCATGTACTGAGTGGGGGAAATTTTTTAAATATTTGGGAATTCTCTGCTTTTTGGAACATAGGAACACATAAACACTAGTGTGTATGTGTATGGTATATGCACAGAGCTGATATACTGTATACTGAATAGTTTCAGGGCAAGAGAAAAATCTGTAGACGCCGTCTTATAAACATACAGGAGACAATCCACCCCAACAAAGCACTTTGGATCATCAGCATCTTCCAGACAGCTAGTTTTCTACAGAACTCACACCTGCTCATAAAGGAGGGAGAGCTATAAATGTCTCTCTCCTAAAGGAAGAGGTTCTGCAGGCTACAGTGGAAGTGCCACTCAAAATTTCCCTCCAGTAAACATATTCCTGGGCTTGGCATGTTCTCCCAAAAGCTAGTTCTACTGGCAGGGATGGGGTGGAGTTAGGGTAGGTGAATAAAGTCACACCTTTTACCCCACAATTGCCACTCCAAACTGTTTTCTTGGATTAAAAAAAAAACATAAATTGAGATTGCAAGCTTTAAGAAAGTGGCAGGATCTAATGGTAGAATTGCAGCCTCTGTGAATAACAGCCTTAACAAAAATGTTGCCTCTATGCAAAGCACAGTGTTTACCATTCTTTTATGTGAAGGAGTGTGAAGGAGCAGAGAATGGCAGTGTGCCGTCCCTGACAATAGAGAACATAGGGGAAGAAAAGACAAACACAGGGGTACCAAAAATAAACAAGGTGACAGTTGACGAAAAGGCGGGAGGATTGGAAATAAAAGAAAGAGCGGGAAAGACGGAGGTTTGCTTAGCCGAAGGGTTGATAGAGGGAAAATGGGCGGAGGAAGAGGTGTCAGTGTGTGAAGAGGATATAAATGACGAAGGGGCGAGATGGTTCAGTTCGGTTGTGGCAGAGTACGAGGAGAAACGGAAAGAAGAGCGAAGAAAGGCATTCGAGAGAATAAGAATCCAGAGCCTCATAAAGGACTTTCCTAATCTCCAAGTGGGAGGACTCTTGCCAGATCCCGGGACAGAGGAGGAAAAACCCCAACGGTACATGACCTCAAAGTGGACCATGATTGTGACGCCACATGAGTTCGAGTTGCAGCGGGAGTTAAAGATCGCCCACAACCGGTTCTACAACAAACCGGGTGCAACATGCATGTTGTGGGACGATCTGTGCCTACAGAGTACTCCCTCCCAAGACACGAATACAAGGAATGGCGTTGAGTCCCTGGGACTATGAGAAAAATTTTGTTTCAGACAGTTGTGGCTTGTTGCCAGAGTTGAAAGGTTTTGACCCGATAAGTGATGTGCTGGTGGATGTACGCGTGAATAAAGAAGGAAGTTTAAAAAGTTATTAAAATGACTCCGTTGTCATTTCCCGCTGAGACTGAGGGGTTGCCCCAAAAGGTAGATGAACCCAATCACAAGGAGATGACATGGAAGCCTCTCATCAACCATTACTACGGGGTGGCTAAAGCCATGATATCATTTTTTTAAATGGCTTTATATCACCCTTAAAATGGTAAGGATAACACAGACACAAGCTTTTCTCCACATCCACCTGACTGAACGATACATACGTAGAGGTCTCTAAGGCCAGCATCCAATTATTTTTCCCATGCATGGTAACACAGTTTTAGTTCCACAGCTGTGGGCACTGTACCTATGTGTATAAACCTGTGATCTGAGTATTGTACTCCAAGGGTTTGTGTGGATTGTAACACAAGAGTTCACACTGAAAGAAATCTGTTTTAATTTTTTTAATGCCGCACTTGTTAAATTGATGGGCCAGAGACTGCAAAATAAAGATTGATTGATTATATATGATATTAATATAAAAAACAACATATGGATAATCTATCTTGTTTACACTGTTTTAACTGTCTTGGAATGTTTAATTGTTTCCATTTATTTTAAATATTACATGTATGTATTTTAATGGGTCGGAGACTGCAAATAAAGATTGATTGAATTCTTTGCTTTGTTTCATTTGGCTCACAGAGAAACAGACAAATAAAACATTTTCCACTCTGACATTTTCCAGGCAATATTTGTGTGAATAGCTCCTAAACGTTTAATAATATATCCATTCTGGGGATGGAGGAAAGTTGTGCTCACAAAATGTCCATCATTAAGCACAGAAAGCCCAGTCTTTCAGAGAAGAGTTTCCTTGTGACGCTGTCTGTGTGAGGGCTGGCCCTACCATTAGGAAGAGGGGACCACTCAGGCAGCAGATTTAGGATGTAATGAATAGACAGCAAAATGTTATTTAGTTTTTTTATTGTTGCATTTTTTTTCATACTGCAAAAGGAGGGGATGTCCGGCCTCCAGAGGTGCATTAACCCATGGTTGGGACCCTAGGCTTTCAGATATTTCAGCTCCCCTCCCAAAGTGCCTTTAACCATTGGAGGGAGCCCTAGGGTGTCTCAGCAAAACCAAAACCTGACAGGTCCCTAGTTCCTGCAGGGCCCCTGGGCTTCAGCCTAGTCAACTTTATGAATAACACAGCCTTGCCCACCTCCCTTGATTTGGATGGGCGGTGGGAACAGTATGTTGCTCTGCCTCAAGCAGCAAAATGTTTTGGGATGGTGGTGTGCATGGGTGCACAACTAGATAGAAACTGGGCTTTGGTCAATTGCACTCTTAAGCAACAGACTATTCAAAGCTTTTCCCAACTCCTGTGCCTCCACGAATTTAGTGCTAAAGTTCATTAGTGCGCGGGACAACATTTGTGAAACCTAGCAAAAGCCCATGCGGAACCCCCATCTTCCTTGCAATTAAGACAGCACCTTTTGGAAGTTTTCCTTTTACCACGTTGCTGTTGGCCATAAAATCCACACAGCACTAACACAGAACCCTGCTTTAGATGCTTGTGACATCTTAAAGGCTGAATATCATGGGGCTGATTTTTTCTTTCTTTCCTGGTAGGGTTTCCCATTTAAAGAGAGGCAAAAATGCATCGGGTGCCATGCCACTCCCCTCTCCAGGAGCGGAGAGGTGTCCTGAGGAGCGAATGAGTCACAATTACGCGGCGCACCGCCCGAGGCGAACAGGCTCCCGGGGGTGGGGGGGCTGGCGGACTCTCCTTGAGCTGGAGGGCCGGCACAGACGCGTTGGATAGCCATCGGTCGGGAGCGCTTTAGCTGTGAGAGTCCTGTATCAGCAGGGGGTTAATGACTAAATGGCTCTTGGATCCTGTTGCAAATCTACATACAAATTCTATGAGTCTAACTTTAGCATCTGGACCAAACTCAAGAGACTATCATCCCGTCTAAAAATAAAGGAGAAATCTGTTGCCAACGCTGATTATTTTCGTAGCCCACGAAGGGATTAAATAGGGGCAATGCACTTTGCACACGATCGGTGCGTCTGTCATAACATATCCCCCCGTCCAGGGACGACTTTACCAGCCAAATGCTAAAAAAGTAAGCCCGCAGGGAAACATCATGGAAGAGAGTCTGCTCTCTCTCTCTCTCTCTCCGTCCCCTCCTCGACCCCCCCGCCTCCCGGGGGCCCGTCTGGCTTTCCAGAAACCCTTGCTGGCCAAAACGGCTCCTCCCTTCGGGGCGGTCCTGGGCAACCTCTGCCCTCGCCGCCAGGCCAGGCTTAGCAACCGAGCCGTCTCCAGCGTCAACAAAAGCGGAGGTGGCGGGAGTTGCAGCAGCCGGAGCAGCCGCCGCGACCCGATCCGGAACAGGCCCGTCGAACTCGCTGGCCCTGCCCGTCACAATGGGATGGAAGCGGCCGGGCGGCTCCAACCAGGTGAGACGGGCAAGCCTGTAGGGGGCGCACTGGAGGGCCAACAACTTGCACGGAGGATTCCCGTCCCCACGAGAGGAAGGCGACTCGCCCTGGGCAGTTAATTCTGCGCCCCCCACCCCAACCCCCCGGGAGACTGACTTTCCCTTTACTGCTGCTGGCATCTGTGCACCGCTGCAAGCTACGTCGAAAATGAGTGAGATCCCTGTTGTACTTGCTGTTATTAGTATTATTAGTGTTAGCGGTAGTAGTAACAGTTTCCCCACTAGTTATCCTTCATCGCCTTTAAAAAAAAAGATATGCAGGCGCTCCGCACGCGGGGCTTTACAATCAAAGAACAAGGCCAAGGCATGGTAAAAGCAATCCATCTGACCACCCGTGCAAACGCTAGTGTGCCGCAGAGAGAGAACAGGTGCGCGACCAAGCAGTTCAACAGTTAATGCCCCCCTCCCTCGCCCGCCTTGGACTTAAAAGTGTCAGACATGGAAGGGATCTGCAGCTTTAAGCATTGCACGAAAGGAAAAAAAAACTTCGGGGAGCTGCGGTTTCGTCCCGTGTAGTTCTGAGATCCCAGAACAGAGGCTTTGATAGGAAAACTTTTCCAGTTGCATAGAAATTTATGTTGTTTGCCTGTAGCAGGAATGGGTAGCCTGTGGGGTTCTTAAGGTCTTGGCTTACAACTCCCATCATTCCCATATAGCCAATGGTGAAATGTACTGGGAACTCCAGTCCAACATCATCTGGGGGTGTGTGTCACAGGTCAGGGCTTTTGTGGTCCTCCCGATGTTTTTGAATGTAATCATCCTTTATCCTTGTCTCTGCATTTGCCCCCATGTCCTTGTTCTAGATGAGAAGGATTCCTGGGGAAACTTCCATGCCATGTTATTTTCAGTTTCTTAGGAAACAAATCCAGTTAAAGAGCAGGATCCTTTCTGTTTAATGCATTGTCTTGTCACATCGTCACTGTGCAATGCGCAAAACTCTTGCTGCTTTATGAGTTAAAGCAGCAGTCGGTGGAAAGTTTGCTACTAATGTGGGCACATCTAAGTGATTATGTGGGAATCCGTGGAATCATGACTTCCCATATAGTTCTTTCTGATGAGCAAGTAGTACCTAGGTTAAAATCCAACGTAGAACTTTTCATACATATGATCATTAATATTTCTTACATTTTTTTACAATTGCATCTATTAAATCACTCATCTAATTTCAGCCTCTTTTTCTGTGATTGTTGCTGTTCAGATCTTAAAATCTCAAAAGCATATGGTGGTCACTACAGTGGTGCCTCACTAGACAGTTACCCCGCATGACAGTTTTTTCGCTAGACATTGACTTTTTGCAATCGCTATAGCGATTCGCAAAACAGTGATTCCTATGGGGGAATTTCGCTGGACAATGTTTGGTCCCTGCTTCGCAAACTGATTTTCACTAGACAACGATTTTGACAGCTTCCTTCGCGCTCGCAAAACAGGTGTTTTCGGGATCTAAGCTTCGCAAGACAGCGATTTAAACAGCTGATTGGCAGTTCGCAAAGTGGCTTTCCTATGGCTGATCTTCGCTAGACAACGACGATTCTTCCCCATTGGAACACATTAAGCAGGTTTCAATGCATTCCAATAGGGAAATGCTTTTTGCTAGACAACGATTTCGCTAAACAGTGATTTCAGTGAAACGGATTATCATCGTCTATCGAGGCACCACTGTATACAGAAATGATATTTCAAGTTATGAGTATGTTGTAGTTCTTATGGACACTTAGTTCAGAGTAGCCTCCGTCTAGCGAGGCACCACTGTATACAGAAATGATACTCCAAGTTATGAGTATGTTGTAGTTCTTAGGGATGCTTAGTTCAGAGTAGCCTGCACCGAAAGTGTAGTATTATATGTGTCTATTTAGAAGTGAATTCTGTGAGGCTCAAACCGGTTCTCGCATTCTGAAGACCCGACATTCAGAGTATGAGGGAGAATCTGCACTTATGGGACATTTTTGTTCTATTTTGGTTTTCTTCTGGTCTTGAGGTCGATTCTCTGGCTGCAAGTCGAACCTAAATTTTGCAGCCAGAGAAGTCTGTACCTCGAAAAGTCTGTAAGTTGAGCCGTCTGTAAGTCGAGGGTCCACTGTACAAAGAACATAGCCATACGTAGCACTTACATAGCACTTGATAGCAGTGAAAACATTTCATGCATATTATGGGAGATGCGTGGAAATTATTTTGAAGAACTAAGCTTTGTGTTGAGATTTTATAATGTTGGTTGCAACCAGGGTGGATTTGATTTAAATCAAATCAATTTAAACTTGATTTTTATAGTTTAAATAACAAATCAATTAATTGTTTTTTTAAAACATCATTGATTTTTATCCACTCTGTTCCCAACCCGCCACTGTGCTCAGTGATTAACAGTGGTTCATATTATGTGTTACCAGTATTTAGAAATAAACTTCTGTCTCCTAAGAAGCACAGTACATAACTTGTTACTGTTTACTGCAGTCAAAAGGCAAGTATTTGCACAAACTCTCCAGTGTGTGCATACATTTAGATCATTTAAAAGTGTTTACAGTTGCCCAAGTAACTATTATGATAATGAATTAATGATATACTATATAACTAAAAAGATAGGACATCAGTGGAATGTTTCTCAGGCTGAGTGAATCAGAAAAACAAAATAAAACAAAGCCAACCTAAAATTCTAAGATAAAACTGCTGAAGGGAAGGCTCTTAGTATCTGTTCTCTTGACTGTGGTCAACGTACTTCTGGAAGACTTCCCTAGAAGGTGATATAGGCAGCTTGAGGCAGGATAGGTGTTGATTCCCCTTGAAATTTGGGGTTGTGGTGGGCAGGAGGTGCTTGCCACCTCAGTCCATGAGCTGGTCTGAGGTAGAGTCTGAGGTAGAGGTGGGGTAGAATCTGTGATTCCCAAAGAAAGAATGGGGGAAATTTCGGATGTGGCTGTTTCTGTTGAGGAACAGGGGAATCTCCTCAAATCATGCGGAGCTGAAATTCTTTCCTTAAGCTAAACCCATACTACAAAATTTAGTTTATCATGAGCTACATAAACAGCTCTTTGGCCTCTCAGGCTGGGTATCTCTCTGTCATGAGCACGATTCTTCAAGGTAAGAGAAATACTTGATTGATTGATTTTTACCCCACCTTTCTCCTTAAAAAGACCTGAGGTGGCTTACAACAATGAAAAGACAATATTTAAAAGCTAAAACAGTAAGTGTACAAATATTTAAAAGAATTAAACAAGTTTTATATTTAAAATGGTCAATAAAATCAAGAGAATAGCTTAGAAATGTATATTATGAGTCTATATTTCCTCACAAACTAATATACAGAACTCTAGCTAAGTTGAAATGCACAGGATTGGCCCGGAATGGTAGCATCTGCCTTTCTCCTGTGAAGACACCCTCCCTGCAAATCTCATTTTTTTGTACACTGCACCTATGGTACATGCCTGGAGTTTTTGTCTGCTGCTTGTTTTTTATGTCTCCTTGAGAGAAAGTTGAAGTGGGGGTTGGGGGACACAGTGTCAAACAGCAGAGAAAAAAAGGACAGAAAAGTCTGTTAATGGGTAAGAGAAAATTTTATTACTATTCACATATACTGACACTTTACGGATAACTTTCCTTCTTCACAAGCTGAAAGTATAGGATGCACAGCATCTGCTAGAGATCCAGTAGCGATTACTACCAGTTGTTTATAGGCATAATTCTAACCCAGCTTTCTGAAGGATGGTTTTTTTCTTAAAAAGTAAGAAGCTATATGAATTTCTTTAGAGCACTAAGATTCTAATAAAAAACATTGTTGGAGCTAATATACGTATTTGTCCTGTTTCTGAATTATAGGGTCCACCCTCATTGGATGGTAGTAATATAACAAAAATGTTTTTATTTATGTTTTAAGGGGAACACCAAAGGAAGCAAAAAGTCAGCATTAGAATGACTGGCACCATGGGTAAACGGCTTATGTGGAGTGCACGTGAGTATTTTAAGATGACATTTCTCTAAATAATTTGCAGCTGAAAGGTCTCCTGATTATATTTCAATAGAAAATTCATAATTTTGACAAGGGAGATAGTTTTGTCTGGAAAAAAATAGTTGCCTCTGGTATTTAGTGAGTACATATCTCGCATTATTCTCTGGGGTATCCAAATAAAAAGGAAGAGATAGCAGCTTTAATAAACAGCAAAAAAAAATCTGTGCTTTGTGTTGGTAAGAAGGAAACTGAACTGATATTAGGTGTGATGCCATGGATTGTTCATGAACATTCCAATTAGTCCCTGAATGAAGCTTTAGGCAACATGATTTTTTGCAATCCAGTCTATGTGAAGGAGGGGAAGATTGTCTATTCGTCTGAGATTAAAAGTTCATGTCATCCTGAAGGACAGAGTGAATTCTGTAGAGACAGGTTAAAGAAAGACAAGTCAAATAGAGGGTCCCACATGATAGGAAAGAACCAGCATGTCCAGAGATGGTATGGCTGACAGAAATGAGCAGATAAGGTGGTATTCTAGAGCCAGAAGCTAATGGAAGAGAAAACAGAAAAGGAGAATTGGATATATATGAGCAGAAGAAACAAATAGTTGTGGGAAAGAGACAATAAAAATGTCTCCTCAAAACATCTCATCTTACTCATAGTATGGGAGATCAAGAGAGATGTTGTGAGTTAGTGTGAAAGACAAAAATACAGCAGAATTGAGGGGTTAAAAAAGTAGTACAAAATGGACAGTGGGACTAGAGGAAAGAAGGAAAGAAGGGTGGACTGTGGGCTGGAATGTGAATCACATCACATCCAGTGTGGACAGTGAAATCCTAAATCAGTCTGCAGCCCCTGTGTAAGCACTGACTGTGACTTCCAACGTAATATTGGCCACGAATCAGTGTAATCACACCCTCACTGAACCACACTGAAATCTGCTCAAGTACATCATATGTTTATATCATTCCCATAGCTATTGCTAGGTAGAAATTACTTCTGATAGGAACATTCTCCTCAATTCATGTTAGGGCTTCAAAGAGTAATACAGCAGCCTCTATAGTTTAGTGAGCCTTTGAATCATAAGTTTTGGAGGGCATCTTGTAGGTCACCTAGTTTGCTGAACAGTTTGATTCAGGAAACCCAGAGGTTGTACAAACACACCTCAAGTAGCTGCCCAGCCTCAGTCTGAAGGCCCACCACTGAAGAACCACCAACCCACTCCTTAAATAGAAAGTATGAAAGAAAAGGTCAATGGTTTTCTGACACTCCTGGTGTTTCTGTATTGGAAGAGGTGGATGAAAAGTTTGTGGCCTAACTCTAAACCCAGCTTTTACTTTTCCTATTTTGCCTGAGTTGCTTGTGTTGTTGTAACTTGTAAATGCCATTAAAGGTTTCAGAACAGAACCCAGCTTTCTTTTTTGAGGACACAAAAAAAACACTAAATCTGCCCTCTGAAGAAATGCCCTCATTAGCATGTCTAAAAATTAGGAGTTGTAAGAACACAGTAAAATAACTTCAAAATTGTATAGTTGGGGACAGTAAGCTGAGTTACAGTAATTGCTATGAACCTAACTTATGATTTTTCCCTCTTAACAGAACTTACAAGTGAGGAAAAGCCTTCAAAAGATCATGAAAAACCCAAGTCACTTGTTGCCTTCAGTCAAAACTTGGAAGCAAAAGAAAGGAGAGATCTTGGCATTCAGTGGGATTTAGATGTGCAGCCTCTCCTTTCTTCTGCTAAATGGCTTCAGATACATGGGCTCAAGAGAAACAACTTGACTTATTCTCAGATTTTGTCCCAGATCGGATTTCAGCAGAAAGAAGGTAATCACAAATCAAATCACAGTGGTGGACTTTTTTTTTTTGCCCAGTATGCAGCCTGATCCTTTAGGTGTGGGGTTGCTGTGTCTTGCATCATTCCTAATCTGGCAGATGGTTGTACTGGAACAGGGACTTAATGTTCCAAAACGTGATACATGTAAAACATCTTTCTGTTCTAGATTATGTGCCTGTTTTGGGGAAGTTTGTAGCTTCCAGATATGCGAATGAGTTGTATCGTCAATTCAAGACGGGACCAAATGGCAAGGTGTATAAAGTAAGTGTGACAGATTTGTATTGAGCTGGAGTAACAACTTATTTCTTTTTGAAAAATAATATTACATTGTCAGAAAGAGATTGCTGGAGTACAATAATTCTCTGCTGTCAGCCTTTAAAGGGAAAAAAATGATTTTACTTGATATTCTTTGCAGCTTGAGCCACAGAATTTAGATTTGACCAGTCTGTTGATACGGGACATAGGAAGGACCTTTTGTAAACTAGGAAAGGAAAGTAACAATAGATATGGATTTGGGAGAGCAGAGATACCAGGTGACAGGCACTGAAGGCATTTGACAGAAAAGCACTATCCAAGGGCTTTCTTTGCATGTGCAGTATATACCACAGGCAAGAAGGGCAGGGCTCTGGCTCCGCCTTCCTGTTGTTGCTCTTTCCACACTAAAGCACGGTATCTGAAGAGAAAGCGCTGTTGTCGCCATGGAGGCTCCACGCACGAACAGGAATGAGGGGGGAAAAAATCAGAGTTCTGGTATATGTGCAGAGCCTTGAGCAATAGAACCAGGTCTCCATGGCTTCCATTTTGGGAGCCTCACAGTGAGGAAAGTGACAGTGGGGAAGGGGAGGACTACAGTGTCCTTCTTTTCAGACACAGCAGTTTTGTGTGAGGAAAGTGACAGTGGGGAAGGGAGGACTACAGTGTCCCCCCCCTTTGTATGTGAAAGATCACGTCTGTATGAGACTATGTTGTTTTCCAAATCAGGACTACCTCTTTGACTCCCACAAAATACTGATAAAGGAAAAAAAACATCCCCTCCCCTCACTCCCACATATCCTAACTCCAGACAGAACTTGGAAAGGCAGTGCTTGGATTTCTGTACTTCCTATATTGTTCTCTCTCTCTCTCTCTCTCTCTCTCTCTCTCTCTGATGTGCCCTCAAGTTGCACCGACATATGATTAGTGCTTTTACCATTGTCATCCTCCAGTGAGTTTCTGCAGCTAAGGAGGAATTTGAATCCCGCTCTCTAGTCCATCACTGTATCGACTACACCATACTGGCTCTTGTGTGTAGTATGTAGTAGAGTGTAGTCCACACTAATGTTGGATTACAACTTCCAGAATCCTCCAGCCAGACTACAGCTCCTGGAATTCTTTACCTAGCATGTTGATTGTTCAAATCTCTCTCTTGTTTTTACTGAATTCAGTGCAGAATAATAGCTTCTGTTTTGCCCTCTGATGTAATGGAAGACAAAACCCAGCTAATTTGGACAAATGTTAACAAAATGATACATGTCTGTGTTTTACTCAGAGTGCTGAGCCCTTAGGTCAAGTGTCCCCAACCTCCGGTCTGTGGCCCAGTACTGGGCCATGGCCTTAGCAGGACCAGGCCACAGAGACAGATCTCCGGTGCCCCCCGCACGCACACACCCACACCCAGGCACGTCTGGCCTCCCATATACATGGACACCCTGCCCATGGACGTACAGATGCATGCACACCCTGCCCACGCATGTATGGACACACGCACAGGCCCCCCACATGCACACACGGACACCCCACCCATGCATGGACACCTCACCCATGCATGCACGCACGGATGGCCTGCCTACGCATGCATGGATCCCCCCCATGAACTGGTCCATGGTTCGAAAAAGGTTGGGGATCACTGCCTTAGGGAACCTGTTTCTGGAATGAAATCTTCTAGGATCCCAATCTTTTGACCTTTCTAGCTAAGCTGGATGGGAGTTGTAGTTCATCAACATTTGGAAGCCCAACGTGCTGCTTTTAGTAATCTGTTAAGTAGATGTGTCAGATTTTCAGAGTGGTCTGAGTGCTTTGAGGCTCCTAAAGATGGGACAGCGTCTGTACTGTCCAAAATGTTGCACAGTGTTTTAATATTTATTTCTTTGTATTTATTTAATATTTATTTCTCTCAATCTAATTTAAATATAGCTGACAGCCAATAAAGATCTGCTTTATCATTTTGTGGATTGCCTTACTGGAGCTATTGAACTATACAAACAAAGAATGGAATGGCTAACCACAGAAAGTCGACAAATATTTGGAGTGATTCAGGAACAAAGTATCACCATAGTTCTGGATTTTGGTGCTGTTTCTCAAGCGGAATTTGCTCTGTGCCGAGAAGCACTTTCTATGGTCTTCAAACAGCAGGTGGCTCAAATAGCCAAATTTAACCTCATTTGGTAAGTTCTTTTACACATTAATGATGAGATTTGCTTTAATTCCTGAATCTGTAACCATGGCAGCAGATAATGTGGGAATGCATTAAAAATACTTGGCTGCTGAAAATAATTGTACTTTGCTTGCAGGGACTTTTATGCCATTTTTTGATTTGAATCTATGCATTGGAAGTCTCCTGTTCACATCTATGTAGCAGGAATAGAGAGCTTCGAGTGGATGAAGTCTAGAGCCAGAGCCAGCAAAATGGGGAATAGAGAGCTTCGAGTGGATGAAGTCTAATGGGCATAAACCCAAGGGGGATGGCAATGTCCCCTTGACATTTTTAGTCCAGTCGTGTCCGACTCCGGGGGGGGGGCGGTGCTCATCCCATTTTCAAGCCGTAGAGACAGCGCTTGTCCAAAGACAGTTTCCGTTGTCACATGGCCAGCGTGACTAGGGAACACCGTTTTTACCTTCCCACTGTGGTGGTACCTATTTATCTACTCGTATTTGCATGCTTTTGAACTGCTAGGTTGGCGAGGAGCTGGGACAAAGCGACGGGAGCTGACTCCATTGTTTGGATTTGAACTTATGACTGCGGGTCTTCTGACCCTGCAGCAGAGGCTTCTGTGGTTTAGCCTGCAGCGCCACCACATCCCTTAAATGGACATAGACAGAGGCAAAAGTGGGTGGCCACTGAGGCATTGTGTAGCTCTTTCTCTCCCTGTACTATTCCATCTTTACCTCTCATGTGCACACAAATGCACAAAGAAGAGGATTCCCAGAAGAATTAGATCACACTGAGGGCTGCGTAGATCTGCATCAAAAATTTTAGGTTCCACACCTAAGGAGGGAAGAGTGCCATCGGAGTTCTGTTAGTGTAGATCTACACTCTACAGTTTGTCTCAGGTTGATACCTTTTTAATTGCTGTGGCTCTTTCCTAAGGAATCCTGTAGCTTGGTGAATGTAGTTGAAATGATTTGCTGTACTTCAGAGGACTGCTCTCAGAGGTAACACCACACTAAATTTAAAACACAGCGTTACACAAAGTGAGGCTGTGAAAGCTACAGTGGTGTCAGGCTGCTATAACAGTGCATCATAGATACACTCCTAGCTTTTTGTCAATGGCAAAGAGTGGATTTCGCACCATTTATCTCTT